AATAAGTGAATAATAGTGCATACTGATATAAATGAATGATTGAATGATTAAATAAATGGAGAGGAAAGAGACAAATCTCACGTGCAGAAGAATTCCAAACAATGTATGTAAACAGTCTACCCCCAGGAGGGTGGACCACTGCTCCCTCTACATAGATGTGGGCTTCACAGAGCAACTTCCTTCAAAGAGTACACTACGGGGGGAGGGGGGGCGGGTAGTAACGCCAACAAACACTACTTCAGCCAGGTGGTCAAAGTCAACGTCAACAAGCTTTTTTCTGGCCACACCCCAGCGGCACCTCCCCCAGGGATTGAACCTGTGCCCCCTGAAGTGGAAGCACGGAGCCCTAACCTCTGGACCGCCAGGGAATTCCCTTGATAAGCTATGTTGGCAGTAGGTATCCTTGATATGATGTAGGAAAATGACACTCTGTCCTTGTGATCTTCTTCTCCCAAATTCATAATTCCAATCTAATAATGAGAAAAACATCAGATACATCCCAATTGAGGGACATCATCCTACAAAACAGGGCCACAACTCCTCAAAACTGTCAAATTAATCAAAAACAAGAGAAGTCCAAGAAACTGTCACAGCAAAGAGGAGTAATTACATTAATTACTAAATGCCATGTGGTATCTAGATGGGACCCTATAACAGAAAAAGGACGTAAGAAATACGAATAATCTATGGGGCTTAGTCAATAATAATATATCAATATTGGTTCATTTTCGTAAGAGATGTACCACACTAGTGTAAGAAGCTAATAATACAGAAAAGTGGGTGTGCGGTATATGGGAACATTGTGCTATCTTCTCAATCTTTTTGTAAATCTAAAGCCATTCTAAGGGCTTCCCCAATGTCTCAGCAGGTAAAGAATCCACCTGCAATACAGGAGACACAGGAGACTTGGGTTCAATCCCTGAGTCGGGAAGATGCCCTGGAGGAGAGCAAGGCAACCCACTCCAGCATTCTTCCCTGGAGAATCCCAAGGACTGAGGAGACTGACAGGCTACAGGCCAAAGGCTCGCAAACAGTTGGATACAACTGAGCAACTACATATGCACACATGCAAAACTGTTATAAAATACAAAATTTACTAAAAAATAAAAAATACTAATCTCCATGATGAAGAGCTTTTGGAGATCAATGTGAAAAATACATATAATGAGCAAATCAACAGGGGGAAAAAGGACAAAGGAAATTAGATGAGTAGTTTACAAAAATAGAAACACAAATGACCAATAAACATAAAAAAAAATCAACTTCTATAAGAGATGAAAATTAAAACAACGAAAAACCATTTTTCACCAGCAACATGATCCAAGGTTTAAAAGTTTGTGATTAATAATTCCCAGTATGGAAAAAATAATAATAATTCCCAGTATGGGCAAAATTGTGGAGAATGTGCAACTCACACATCACTGGAGATAATATGTGTGTGTGTGTTAGTCATGCAGTCATATCAAACTCTCTGCAACCCCACAGATTGTACCCCACCAGGTTCCTCTGTCCATGGAATTCTCCAGGCAAGAATACTGGAGCAGGTTGCCATTTTCTTTCCCAGGAAAATCTTCCCAACCAAGGGATCAAACCCTGGTCTCCTGCATTACAGGCAGATTCTTTACCATCTGAGCCACAGGGAAGCCCAGGAAATGGTGCAGCTTCTTTGGTGCTCAAGTTGGCATGGCAGAACGTACACGTCCTTTTACTCTGCAATTTCACTTTGGAGAATACATCCAACCATTATCTTTCCACATGTTTGCATGGGTATAGGTTCCCTGCAGCGATGTTTGCAATATCAAAATATTCAGAATTCCTTGAAAGGCCATCAATAGAGGCTAGATAAAGAAATTATGGTTCAACTGTGAATGGAATACTTTATAGAGTCCGTCAAAAGTATGTTGCCAGAGCATTCTGCACTGTTTTTCAAGTTATCACACAACCTGAGCCTGTACCCTCTGTCAGGTCCTTCCCCCAGATCCAAAGCCCCACCATCAGAAACTCGGCAACAGGCCCTCAGACAGTAAGAGGAATGCCAAAAAGTCTTACATATTTAATAACTTGATCTGATGAACCCAAGCAAATTCTAATTTAGTTTTTGGTACTTTATGGAGAATTTGGAGGAGGAACCTTCAAAGCAAGAGCTGTTCTAAAAGAGTAAGTAAGCGTCAGACATATCTGTTGCCCAAAGAATATTCCCCACCCTCCTTCCCACTCAAAATTTTGTGGTTTGGGTGGAACTAACTCCAGCCCCCAGATTCCAGGGTGAGCACATGACCCAGCCTGGCCAATCTAAGCACTCCATCCTCCATTCCACAGTGATTGGCTGAAGGATGGCCATGTGACCCAAAATAGGTCAATGAAATGACATTTTGAAACTTCTGCTGGAACCACTGAGAAAGAGAAGCTCTTTTTTCAGGAGGGTTTTGGTCATTTGAGGGTTGCCTGCAACTCCTGAGAGACACCTTCTTTCCACAAGGGAATAAAGAGGGAACAGAGGAAAGAGAAAGGACAGAGAGAGTAAGACGTTATTTGGTGACATTAGTTGAGAACTTGAATCCAGTTTTGTCTGAAACATGGAAAGTTCTTCTGTTTTCAGATCTGTAAGCCAATACTCTTAAAAGGGAGCCAATACTCCCTTTTACTCTTAAACCAATTTAAGTTGAGAAAACTGACTCAATCTGAGATCCAGGAAGCAGAGGCCAAGGCTGATCATGTTGGGAGCATGCCATGGAGTTCAGAAGGTGTCTTGTCCTCAAGAGTGCTCCCTGCCAGGCAGTCTGACCACTCAAGTTATGTCTTCAGGACCTCATCAAAGCCATGGGCTTTTTTACCCAAGACTGAAAGGTGATCCAAAATCTAATTAGGGTCCTAATAACGATCTATGCTTCATCTGGTTCAACCCAAGGTCCAACCCAGCCACACATCAAGGCAGAGAGAGTCAGGGCAGGAATCCAAGCTCTGCCCCTTTAAGACTCTTCCTGTTTCCTCCTCCATGGAGGGAGGGAAGGAATCAAACTGCACAAACTGACCTGGAAGGCCCTGGAGTCCCAGGGTGGTGCCTTCTCTCCAGGGAGAGGGTACTAAGTAACTACCCACTCCCCACCAGCTCTTCAGACAGATTAACTCTGCTTTTATCTGATTTATATATTGGGGTTTCATCTGAAGAGTAACTCCACTGCTAAATGATAATTTTGATTATTTGGACTTTGATTCTTGGAACTCTTGAAGGACAGGATGGACTGAGCAGGCTGGAAACCCACTGACCCCTCCTGCTCTGACATGCTGAGATTTTTTTTGACAATGTGAACTTGGAATGCTGGCCAGGCCCAGAGTTCAGGAATTAAGAAGCAAAAAGGAGGAGGGACTTCTCTGGTGGTCCGTGGTTAAGAATCCACCTTGCAATGCAGGGGATATGGGTTCCATCCCTGGTTGGGGAACAAAGATCCCACATGCTGAGGGTCAGCTTAGCCAGTGAGCAACTGCTGAGTCCTTGCACTGCAACTAGAGGGTCCGAAGACCATAATGAAAAGATCTTGCCTGTTGCAACTAAAACACAGCCAAATAAACACTTAAAAAAAAAAAAAAAGGAAGAGGAGGAGTTAAGCCCCTGGGGAAACCCTGAGTTCAAACCCTGACTCTGTCACTTGCTTGCTGGGTGACCTTGATTAACTACCTTCCTTCTCTGAGCCCCAATTTCCTCATCTGTAAGAGGGGGGTGCCAATACCTTCCTAAAGGAAATCAACCCTGAATATTCATTGGAAGGACTGATGCTGAAGCTCCAATGCTTTGACCACAATGCTTTGATGCAAAGAGAGGACTCCTTGGAAAAGACCCTGATGCTGGGATAGATTGCAGGCAGGAGGAGAAGGGGGAGACAGAGGATGAGATGGTTAGACAGCATCACTGACTCAATGGACATGAATCTGAACAAACTCCGGGAGATAGTGAAGGGCAGAGGAACCTGGTGTCCTGCAGTTCATGGGGTCACAAAGAGTCAGACACGACTTAGAGTCTGAACAACAACGACACCTTCCTCTGAGTATCGCTGCAAAGAGTAACTGAATCAATGCCTGATTATGGTACAGCCAACAGGAAGGGCTCTGGAAGCCAGGTTGCAATTATTAAGGATATTATTGTTGTTCTTTGTATTCAGGCTACAGAATGCATCTGGCAAGCAGTGTCCTAGAATTCTTCTTCAAAGATGCCCCTGGCCCTGGTGTGGATGGGAGGATTTGAGATGGGGAGGGGTCCCAGCCAGACATTCTTAGAATCCTTCCAGGACAGGAATGGGCTGAACAGGCTGCCCTGCATTCTAAGTCCCGTCAAGCAGAGGTCGGATCCCTGAACAGTCGGGCAACCCGGACTTGGGCCCAACCCAGGTGACTTCTTAGTGATGCGTCTGAAACCTTCTTGGCCTGCAGTCTGGCAACCTGACACCGCAGGCTCTGATTTCCCAGCCTGGACAGTACTGCGGTGGGGGGAGGGGCAACGACCCTTGGGGTATCTCTTCCCTCACCTCCTAGGCACCCCCTTCTCCAACACCCCCATGCCCAAGGTGCCCACCGCCGCGCGTCCGCATTTAGGTGCACTGAGGCATCTCCTTGAACAGGCGAGATGAGAATTGCAGGTTGGACCCAGAGCAGCAGAAGGTTTGAGGGTAACAAGGGGAGTCCCTCTGCACAGAGAGCTAACGAAGATCGAGGTGCCCCCAAAGCCTAACGTCGGGGGTCCGGGCGACGATCACTCTGGAGAACCGCGAAGACCAGGCTCGGGGTCACGGGACGGAGATGAGCAGGCAGCCCAGCGCCTCTAGTTCAACCTGGCCCCGCCGCCTCCGCTCGAGAAGAAACTTCGAGCCAGCGCCCCGGCTCCCTCCCGCGCTCCGCCCGGCCTCAGCGCGCGGGTGCGCGCCCGCACCAGGCCCCGCGCCCCCCGGGTGCCCACTCACCAGCGCACCAACTGCCAGCGCTTCTCCCCCGGCGCCCGGCGACCCGCCATGCTTCCCGGCCGCCGCCCGCTCCCCACCCGCAACGGGCCGCGCCGTGGAAGCAGCTCCGGCTGCCGCAGGCCAGTGCCGAGGGCGCGCTCCGCAGCGATCACCGCCCTCCTCGCCGCGGCCGCGAGACCGCAGCCGGTCCCCTCACTGTCTTCACCCACGCCCAGCCCAGAGGTGCAGCGGAGCGGACTCGCTTTGGAGCACTGGGCGGGGAGTCAAGTTCTCCAAATTCTACCTGACTTGCTGAGTGACTCGAGGGAATTCACTTAATCCCATTGTTTCACTTCCTTATGACACCTGTTCCACCTACCCAGAAAGTTATGCCCCAAAATATACTATAAACGGCTTAAATAAAAACTGATGCGCCTTACAGATTATTGAACTATTTTAAGACGGTAGTCATTGGCTTCCCAGGTGGTTCAGACGTAAAGAATCCGCCTGCCAATACGAAAGAGGTAGGAGACTTCAGTTCCATCCCTGGGTCTGAAAGATCCCCTGAAGGAGGAAATGGCAATCCACTCCAGTATTCTTGCCTGGAAATTTTCATGGACAGAGGAGCCTGGCGGGCTATAGTTCCGTGGGGTCACAAAGAGTCGGACAGAACTGAAGCGTCTGAGCACAGTACTCACAATAAAATATTATGGCATTGGCCCAGAACGTTGCCAAACCCTAGGATTTTCTCCACCCAGGCCTTCAAACTACTTTCATCCCAGAACGTTAATTTGAGCTGAGCAGAGACCAACCTGGCCCACAGCATCACGGGAGCCTGGTTTGAAGGAGCTGAGTGTTAGACATGTTTATAGAGATTGCACGCAGCAGAGTGCCATCCACCTGCCTTTCATGTCAGGATAGCCCACATCCTTTGCAGGAGGGAACCTTACACAGAGAGGAGAATATCTGGCTCTGGATGTAGAGCTCCGGAGGCTTATCTTCCCAATAGGGACTGGGGGCCCCTACTCAGGAGCTCGGCACAAGTTTCCAGGGGAATCCAAATGCTACTGACATCTGTCACCATATCCATAGGCATCCTCCCCAGGGTTCAACAAAAAATCAAGATTACATAAATCCTGAGAATCCTTATCTGAACTTTCCAATAGGTCTCAACTAAAGAACTGACAGGAAACAACAAGGACTGAAAAACCTAAACAACATGTAAAAGGAAACAGGGAAGGCGTAACAGACAAGATTGGCAGCTCGCCTTTGACCTTTAAGTATAGTGTCTAGCATGAGGCTAGCAATTGCCTTTGAATATCCTTTCTTTAAGCTTCCCCAACATAATTAACAAAGAAACCAAGGAAACAGAATAGAAGGTCTAAAAACATCCCCAGATGTGTGTATGTGTAATACATGTATTTCAAATTAGTGAGGGATATGGTGATGGGACAATTAACCTTTTTCAGGGAGAAAAAAAGGCTTCTCTTTCACATCACAAAGTATATTTCAGATGAATTATAAATGTAAATGTATAAACATATAAAAAGGACTCAAAAAAATACATAGGTAAGTATTGTCATATTAAAATAGGGATGGACTTTTTTAAGCTTGGCATCAATGGCAGATGTCTTATGGAAAGAGAGTAATGGATTTGACTGAAATAAAAATATTTAACCTTAGCACATCACAAAAGTACAGTAAGCAAAGTTAAAAGGCAAATATCAAACCGATTTAAAAAGATACATGCCTGTATTTGAATATCCATATTCACAGCAGGTTATTCACAATAACAAGTGAGGGGAAGCAACCCAAGTATTCATGAGTGTATTCATGGAGAAGCGAAACATGGTCTACACATAAGATGAAATATTATTCAGCCTTAAAAAGGAAGGAAATTCTGACACACACTACAGCATGGGTGAACTTTGAAGGTATTATAATAAGTGAAATAAACAAGTCACGAAGAACACTACTGTATGAGTTCACTTGCACGAAGTACCTAGAGTGGCTACATTTATAAGGACAGAAGGTGGAACCATAGTTGGCAAGGTCTGGAGTTGGAAAGGGAAGAATGGGGTGTTCATTTTAACGGGCACAGCTTTTCAACTTTACAAGATGAGAAGAGTTCTAGAAATGGGCCGTGGTGATGCTGCGCAGTAATGGGAATGTATTTAATGCCATTGAATTGTACCCTTTAAAATAGTTACGAGGGCTTCCCTGGTGGCTCAGTGGTAAGGAATTGCCTCGCCAATGCAGGAGACCCAGCTTCCAGCCATGATCTGGGAAGATTTCACATACGGCAGACCAACTAAGCCCATGTACCACAACTACCGAGCCTGTGCTCTAGAGCCTGGGAGCAATGACTGTTGAGCCCATGTGCTGCAACTATGGGAGCCCAGGTGTCCTAGGGCCCAGCTCTGCAACAAGACAAGCCACCCCAATGAGAAGCCTGTAACTAGAGAAAAGTCCACGCAGCAGCGAAGACCCAGCATGGCCATAAATAAATAAAATTATTTGTTTTAAATAGTTACAGTAGCAAATTCTATGTTGTATACATTTTACTATACAGTAAAAAATTTTAATGTTGAAAGCTTTTAGTACAAAGAAATAAGAAATGATAAATGTTCTAATAGAGAAATGGCAAAGGACATGAACAAGCAAGTCACAAAAGAAATATAAATAGATAGTAGACACATTTTTTAAATTTAATATTACTGGAAATCAAGGACTTGAAAATTTAAGTGTGACAGTACTTTTTTCATTTGTCAAATTTGGAACAGTTGGTTGTTGCTGAATTGTTGTTAATTATCCCTTGCAGGGCTTGTGTGGAGAAAGGAGACTCTCCCAGTTATGACTGAGATTGATGTACAAATTGGTCCAACTATTGTTCATGGCAGTTTGACAGTTATGATCAAAAGTCAACAAATGTGTATATCCCTTGACTTAGTAATTTTTTCTTTTTGAAATTCATCCTAAGGAGATAATTAGAAATATGGAGGAGAGACTTCCCTGGTGGTCCAGTGGTTAAGACTCTGCCTTCTAATGCATGGGTTCAGTCCCTGGTCAGGGAACTAAGATTCCACATGCTGCGAGGTATGGCCAAAATTTTAAAAGGTAAATAAAAATAAATTTTAAAAATAAAATAGATAATCTAATAAGGGCATACTGTCTAGCATAGGGAACTCTACTCAATACTCTATAATGACCCATATGGGGAAAGAATCTAGAAAAAAGAGTGGGTTAAAAAAAAAGAAAAAAAAGAGTGAATATATGTATATGTGTAATTGATTCACTTCACTATACACCTGAAACTAACACAACATTGCATATCATCTATACTCCAATAAAAATTTTTTTAAAAAATGAAACGTGTGGGGGGGAGAAAGTCTTTGGAAGAAGGTCCATTGCAACATTGTTTGCAAAGAGAGTAAAACTGAAGACAACACAAAAGTCCAACAGGAGATTAAATAAATGAAGAAGCATTCCCATATGATGGAACATTATACAGCTATTAAGAAACACTTACTAGCATGAAAAAAATCACGATATATTTTGAAATGAAAAAAAGTGTTACCAAGTAGAACTAGTATATTAATATACTTTCAGAAAATCTGGAAGAACTACATATTTTTAAAGTGATTTATCTCTGGGTGGGTGAAGTTACAGTGGTTTTTATCTTACTGTTTTTCTTACCCATATACCCTAATTTTTCTAAGTAAACATTTTGTGCAATAAGAAAAAATACAATAAGTCACTTGTTAAATGATAAAGCTACCAAGACACTCACAACATTACTGCTTATAACATTAAAAAATAGAAAGAATCAAATTATCAGACAATAAAAATATGGATAGATGCAGTACACTGTACTTTATCAATACAAAGAACAAAACTGCAGCAGGAGAAAAGCATTCATGCTATATTGCTAAGCCAAAAAACAGACTACAAAATGAGATGGTAAAATTATATATAATTAAGATTTTATATAGTTAGAACTTTTTTAATGCCAAATGTTACTTTTTGTTAGGCCTGGAAAGTAAAAGTGGGCACTTTTATTTTTATGTCTTTGCTTGTCGAGAATTCCAAAGATTTCTGCAATGAATAATAAGGGAAATTTTTTTTTAATTTTAATACACAGGCATTGATGAGTGAATGAAGACATGTAAAAGCTTCTGTAATAAAACACAATATTTAAAAGCACTGACAGGACTTCCCTGGTGGTCCAGAGGCTAAGACTCCACACTTCCAATGCAGGGGGCCTGGGTTTCATCTCTGGGCAGGAAATTAGATGCCACATACCACAAGCAAGAACCAGTGCACACAAATAAATGAATAAATATGTTTTAAAAACCTGGCTGAAGGAAGTGGTGCATTTAAGCAAAATGTGGAGCATTACATGTGGTAGAACTAATACAAAATTAGGGGAAAATAAAGGAAAAGAGGGGCCAAAATTATACCAAATAACCAAAGAACTGGGGAGTTCATTGCCCGAGATCATAGAGAGTGGTCTGGAATGGAAGAATTTCAGGCACAGGTACTGGCACGTCTCATATCCCTTCAATGAAGCCGGTCAGCTGCGTGTCTGAGCTCTGTGCCCTAGAGGGAGGAGGATGTGGGCAGGGTTGAGGCAGAGGTGGTACGTCTGAACCTGAATTGCAACTAGTATACACACACATACAAACACACACACACACACTCAGAGCTCATTTTTGTTGTCATACTAGTGGTTTAGGAATAATCTGAAACTCCAAAAGCCTGCTGAGATGTTAGGGACCATTTTCTCCAAATGAACAGAGGAGCCTGCAGAGCAGTCCACGAGGTTGCAAAGGAGTCGGAGACGCCTTAGCAACTAAAACAACAATTGATCCAAATCAGCCATCTGAGGAGAGTGCAGCCTTGCCCCAGTTTGATCTTTCATTTGTTAGGTAAGCTGACTAAGAGGCTTATCCACAATAACCTCTGGTTAGGTCTCTGGCCTCAGAGCTCCCAATCCTTCTAGCCACCACATCCCAAGGGCCCCAGATTGGGTAGTCTTTGGGGGTCAGGACAGATGGCCAGAGTCTTTGAAGAAAAGAGGGTATCCCTGTAACATTGCCACCTACCCCCCTGTTTGGAGCATCTTGGTGCCCACCATCACTGGAGTACTCAACGGGCAGCAGCCTGGCAGAGAACAGCAAATGGGACCCAAGTTGAAGAATGTTGTACCGGATATCTGCTCCCTCTGGAAACTTTCCCCACCTTTGTCTACTCTGCTTGGTCCTGGGACATCTACCTGTACAAGCTGTGTCAGTGGACTCCCTTAACTGCTGGCTTCTGATTGGCTGGAGAAGGCACCAGAAGGAGACTGGGAGCAAGAGGACAGTGAGGTTGCATACTGATTCCTCAGCTCTCTCCCAGGTCCTTGTGGGTCATACATTTCCTTTAAAAATATATATATATACATTTATTTGGGCTTCCCTGATGGCTAAGATGTTAAAGACTCTGCCTGCAATGCAGAAGAGCCAGGTTTGATCCCTGGGTATTCCCTGGAGAAGGGAATGGCAACTCACTCCAGTATTCTTGCCTGGAGAATTCCATGGACAGAGGAGCCTGGCAGGCTACAGTCCACAGGGTTGCAAAGAGTCAGACGCAACTGAGCAACTAACAGTTTTCACTAACACCAACACTTTCGGTCTTAGCTGTGGCATGCGGGATCTTTGTCGCGGCATGCGGGATCTTTGTCGCATCATGCAAGACCTTTTTCAATATGGTGCACAGACTCTCTAGTTGTGGCATGCAGGCTCCAGAGCAGCTTCAGTAGTTGCAACACACCGGCTTAGTTGCTTTGAGGTATGTGGGATCTTAGACCCCCGACTAGGGATCCAACCCTTGTCCCCTGTATTGCAAGGCAGATGCTTAACCACTGGACCACCAGGGAAGTCCCCAGATACTTTCTTTTAAGGGAAGCCACAGCTCTTGCCAGGTAGCCCTCTCCCCAAACACATCCTTTCTGAAATCTCATCACTGCCTTCTCTTGTCCCTCTAAGCCTAAGGATGGTATTAGCTCTTTATATCCTTCTTTCCTAAACTCTGTCCATAGCCTTGCAGACAGTTTCTTAACTCTCTTCAAATGATTCATTTCAAATGTGCTGTCTGGGACTTCCCTAGCAGTCCAGTTGTTAAGACTCTAAGCTCCCAATGCAGGGGGCACAGTTTCAGCCCCTGATCAGGGAACTAAGATGCCGCATGCTGCCTGGCACAGCCAAAAATAAAAAAGGATTAAATGTGTTGTCTGTTACTTTCCAGGACACCAACCAATAGCACTGTTACCCAAACAGAACTCAGAAAGTCACTATTCCACACTGTCATGAAGAGATACAGGGAAACTCCAAGCATTCTTTGCCACCCAGAGCTCACTCTCCCCACTGGTTTTCAAGGCTTTTGCCTTCCACTAAAGCCCATGACAACTGTGGGTGCCTTCTGCTACAGCTGGAGTCACCTCCTCACTGAGGGGCTTGATGAAGCCCACCTCTGACCTTAATTGGGCTAGAGTTTGAATCCTGACTCTGCTGCTTACAAGCTGGGTGGTGTCAGATATAACCTCTCTTAAGCTTTATTTTCTCCACCTACAAATGGGAATAAACCTTTCCTATAGGATTTCCCTGAAGTTTCTTATTTTTAAATTTTTTACATTAATTTTTCTTTTATTTTTGGTTGCGCTGGATCTTCACTGTTAGGTGCAGGCTTTCTCTAGTTGCAGCGAGCAGAGGCTACTCTCCATTGCAGTGCACAGGTTTCTCATTGCAGTGGCTTCTCTTGTTGCAGAGCACGGATCTAGCCAGGTGAGTTTCAGTGGTTGCATCTCTCAGGATCCAGAGCTTGGGCTCAGTACTTGTGGCACTCCTTCGCATATGGAATCTTCCTGGACCAGGGACTGTGTCCCCTGCATTGGAAGGTGTATTTTTATCCACTGTACTACCAGGGAAGTCTTCTCTGAGAGAGATTATGTGGGTAAAGTCCTCAACTCAAAACTTCTGAGGCCAGAGATTCAGTTTTTATACATTTAGTTTTCTTTGACTTGGTTACAAGTTTAATTTTAAAAATAGAAATAAGATTTTTTTAAAGTATTTAGTAGATGACATAGCATATAGAATATGCTTAATAAATGTTGTTATTATCAACATCATCATTTGCAACATCATCATCTCCATATGTCATCACATATCTCTAAGTGTCCCCATAACATCAGATATAGGGCCATGCAGTCTGCTTTGCTCAATATTACTTTACTCTGTGTGCTGACTGACTGATTGCTAACCTCCTCCCAGGAGGAACCCCTAAGTCTCCTTGCTGGCAAGTCCAAGCCCTAACTCTGCTGGTTCATCATCTTCAGTTATTCCCTGGATGCTTTTGTGCACATCTTTTGTTGTCTCACACGTGGATCTTTTTCCAGCCAAAGATGTTGCAAGAGTCCTATGGACAGCCCTAGAGGCCCAGATGGGAGCTTGGCCCAGGGCAGGACTCTGCCAGAAGCACTTACTGTATCAAAGCTGGAGGCCCCCAACCCATGACCGGGCAGGGCCACCCCTCAGACAGGCATCTGGAGCAGTTTCCTCCAGCTGGTAAAAAACCAGAGTCCCAGGATCCATCTTGATACTGATCAAGGAGAAGACCATTTGGTGTCCAGTTATGACAATTCCATCTGCACACACATTAACATTACAAAACCCTTTCACTCTCACCTCATAACATTGCCCCCCGCCATGATCCTGTTGGCAAAGTAGATGTTGCTTTTCTTTTTTTTATGTTTGAAAGAGGAACTAGAGCTTAGAGAGGTTAAGACTTGCCCAGAATTACCCAACTAATAAGCAACAGAGCTCAGACCAGAGCCCAAGTTTTCGGGATATAAAACATACCTTTCATCCTTCTTAGCAATATCTCAATTAGTTCATCAGAACTGATAAATCAATGGGTTAGCAGACCCATAGCCCTGCTGGAGACACACATACACACACACACACATACACACACACACAATACATGGCACAGGAATGCTGCCCCAGGAGGGATATCAAGAGATGAAGAAGCAGGACTGGGCTGGCCTTTCTGCTCCTCTCCTAAGGGTTTCCTCAGAGAAGAAGAGTTGAAAAGGGTCTACCCACAGCATAGCCGGAGGCTAGAGTTCCCACAGTGGGATTTGAGATGCCTTTGAACACTCAGACAGTAAAGTATCTGCCTACAATGCGGAAGACCTGGGTTCAATCCCTGGGTCAGGAAGATCTCCTGGAGAAGGAAATGGCAACCCACTCTAGTATTCTTGCCTGGAAAACCCCACCGACAGAGGAGCCTGGTAGGCTACAGTCCATGGGACTGCAAAGAGTTAGACATGACTGAGCGACTTCACTTTCTTTCTTTCTTCCTTTCTTTCTTTGAACACCACTGTCTGTCAAGCCAACTAAGAGGGTGATTTCTTCAATCTCCGCTGCCAAGAGCAGCTAAAACTTTCACCCACTGACACCCAAGTCCTGTTAAGGTTTAAAAGTTGACTAGGGAGGGGGGACTTTGAGGGAGGATGGATACGTGTATATGTATGGCTAAGTCCCTTTGCTATTCACTTGAAACTATCACAGCATTATTAATTGGCTTTATCCCAATACAAAATAAAAAGTTTAGAAAATAATTTTTTTAAGTAAAGTTTTAATGTGGGAAAAAAAAAAAAGTTGACCAGGAAGGAGACAGAGCAAAGAGATCCATAGAGAAAAGACAGGATGACCTTGAGGCCAATGATTTGTTGGAACCTGCCCCAAGGCCCTCATGCAAAGGTCCCGCAATTCCAGAGACAAAGGCAGAAGATTTCTCTGGACATTTGGCCCAGGAGGGTAAGGAGGAAAGTTCTTGGCTGGCAACAGAGTGGGAAAAGCCAGATCATCCCTTTAGTCTGCAGCCCCTCAGTCCCTTCCTCCAGTCCCTTCAGGCAGGGATGGAAATGACTTACCCAGAGACAGTTCTGAACCACCTGCTGCTCACTCGTGCCACCTGGTCTCTTGCCATCATGAGCACAAATGCCTAATGAGCACTCAGCACTGTTTCAGGCACTTAACGTGTATTAACTTATTTAATCCTCACGACAACCCAAAGATTTTATGAGCTGCATAGACCATCATCATCCCATATTACAGATGAGGAGACTGGGGCCCTGGAAGGAGGAAGGTATTGGTAGACGAGAAACAGAAGCCAAGCAGTCCAGAAGCCTCCTAAGGCATAGTGAGAACGGATCAACTCCAATCTTCTGGACTCTAGGGTTTCAAAAGGATCCTCTCTCTTGGCTCTTGGGACCCGCAAATAGAGGGAAAGAGGATGTTTCATCAACTGAGGCCCAGAGAAGTGATGTGACTCACCCAAGGTCACACAGCTAGTGAGAGATCTGAAGCACAGGGCAGAAGTTCTGACCCTTGGTCAGTTCGCACTCCCCAATCCCAACCCTTCCCCGGACTGGGCGCGGGGGAGGGGTGGGGTGGGAAACTGTCTCAGGTTTCTACGCCAGCGGGTGGGCGGAGGGGCGGAGCGGATCGCGGCCTGCAGGTCTGGGCGCTGTCCACGGTGCTGATACGCCCGCCGCGCCCTTGCTCTCCAAGTGGCCGGCGGGTTCCCGGGGTTTCCCTTCCAGCTTCAGTCAAAGACGGCTCCGAGAGCTCGGCAGCCCTCCGGGGTCCTTAGGCCTGGCTCCCGGGGCTCCCGGGACTCCCGGGATTCCCCCTCCCCCGGCCGCGCTCAGCACAGCTCGTTCGCCAGTTCCGGTCACGTTGCTGGGTGTTTACGCCTGGAGCCCGCCCCGGACCCCCCCTCCCCGCCCCGCGCACTCGGCGCCCGGGAGCCCCCCGGAGCCCGGGCCCGATCGCCCGGCAGCCTCGCAGCAGCTGATGGCGCCACAGCTCGGGCGGGCGCTGCGGAACCCCGGGCGCAGCTAGCGTGGGGAAGAAGAGCGCCTCCCCCCACACAGCCTGGCCCGGACTCAGGGCCCCGCTGGCCCGTCGCTCCCTCAGGTCCCGAAGGTGAGGAGGCCGGTGGGCGTGGGGGGTGGGCGCCCGGGTGGGGAACCGCACGACCCGAGCTCCTGCTCCCCCGGGAGGGCGGGCGCGGGGCTGCGTACCGCAGCGCGGGAGGCGGACAGGACCCCGCGGGCTGCTGGCAGAAGTTGTCCTCCGCCGCCCAGACTCCGACCCTTCCTGGCCCTGGCGAAGAGTCCACAGCGGCCCGAGGGGGAGCCTCCGCCACCTCCTGCCCTCTGCCACCGCACACATCTTTCTTTTCGCCTGCCTTTCCCTGTCCTCCCTGGGCACCTCTCTTCCCCGTCCTCCTTAGTCTCCACATCCCCCCACTGCCTTCGCTGGGAGTCATATGCGAGACATAAGCAGGGCAGAACATTAAGACCGAGGGGGTTGGGGCTCCAGTTTCCCCAGGCATCCCACTCCCCGTGTCCCTGGATCTTCAGCTCCACCGAGGTCGGGGCTCCAGGGATCTTCAGAGGAGAGAGGAGCCATAGCCTAGAGGTTTGGGGGGGAGGAGGGGCCCCGGACTGGGGAAGACCACAGGACCTCCACCCCGGAACTGTGGCTCCACAACTGGCCAAGTGACCCCCACCCTGCATAGAGTCCCAGACATTTGTCAAGGGCTGACTTTTTGCTCCCAAGGCAAGTCCCCAGGAGAGCCAAGGACTTGGGGGGAGGGGGAGTAATTATTTTTTAATACGTGTACTGCCTTGGCTTGGTGAAGCCCTGTCCTCAGGAAGCTTATGGCTTAGAGCAGAAGCCAGGTTTGCACATGCATAGGAGCACACACACACACACACACACACACACACACAGGGAAGTGTGATACAAGGCAAAATACCCGGGAACATAAGGAAGGAGAGCCAGCCTGGTGTGGTGGGCCAGGGAAGGCTCCATGGGGAGGGTAGCATTTGATCAGGGCCCTGAAGGATGGGTCAGGTTTCAGGGGGCAGCAACAGGGTGGGGGATAGTGAGGGGATGTCCATGACTAGCAGTAAGAGGTAGAATCTGAAAGAAGTGTTCAGACTGCAAATGTGGACTGTGTTTAGACTGTGAAGGGTCTTCAATGCCAGGGTGAACTCCCAGTGGGGTGCTCCCAGTTACCAGGCACTGTAGTTGTATATTTTGAGCAAACTGCTTAACTTCTCTGAGCCTCTGCTTCCTCATCTGCGGAGGGGATATACTAATGAAGCCTTCAACGCAGGGTTGCTGTAAAGATCAGTGAGTGAGGGAGTTCCCTTGTGGTCTAGGGGTTAGGACTCAGTCCTGTCACTGCTGAGGGCCTGGGTTCAATCCCTGGTCAGGGAACTAAGATCCTGCAAGCCAGCGGGTACAGCCAAAAGAAAAAAAGAAAGATAAATAAGTTAATATTCATAAAATAAAATAAGAGCAGTGTCACCCATTTTTCATTATTATATAGGTATGCACTGATTTTTTTTTTTTTTTAACTTAGCCACATGGCTTGCATGGCTCCCTGACTGGAGAGCAAACCCAGGCCACTTTCAGTGGAAACTCAGAGTCCTAAACGCTGGACACCAGGGAATTCCCCTGATGATTGTTATAATAAATATTGTTACCTGTGCATCCATGTCTGAGAAGGATTTCTTGAGTTCCTGCTCTCCCTCCTACTCCAAACCTGAGAGTTAGGCAGTGAAGAGGAATGATGGCCAAGAAAAATAAAGAACATACTAATTCATTTATTTATCCATATATTACCATGCCTATCTTATCTAATATACCTGCCCAGACTATAAGAATGATAAACATAGTTTAACATTCTTCTCAGTTGGAAAGATCCCCTGGAGAAGGAAATGGCAACCCACTCCAGTATGCTTGCCTGGAGAATCCTATGGACAGAGGAGCCTGGCAGGCTACAGTCCATGGGTTCGCAGAGAGTTGCCCATGACTGAGCAACTAACACGAAACAATACTTAAAGCATACTTAAAGCATCTGAACAAAATATGGGTATTGGAGTGTTCAGAACAGTGCAAGGATATGTGTTGACTCAATAAATATTTTCAGTCCCAAAGAGAAAAGAAACCCCAAGTATGAAATTGAAATTAGGGCAAGAGAAACAGTCGGGGCGGCAGCAGTTCAATCCCTGGTCAGGGAACTAAGATCCTGCAAGCCAGTGGGTACAGCCAAAAGAAAAAAAGAAAGATAAATAAGTTAATATTCATAAAATAAAATAAGAGCAGTGTCACCCATTTTTCATTATTATATAGGTATGCACTGATTTTTTTTTTTTTTTAACTTAGCCACATGGCTTGCATGGCTCCCTGACTGGAGAGCAAACCCAGGCCACTTTCAGTGGAAACTCAGAGTCCTAAACGCTGGACACCAGGGAATTCCCCTGATGATTGTTATAATAAATATTGTTACCTGTGCATCCATGTCTGAGAAGGATTTCTTGAGTTCCTGCTCTCCCTCCTACTCCAAACCTGAGAGTTAGGCAGTGAAGAGGAATGATGGCCAAGAAAAATAAAGAACATACTAATTCATTTATTTATCCATATATTACCATGCCTATCTTATCTAATATACCTGCCCAGACTATAAGAATGATAAACATAGTTTAACATTCTTCTCAGTTGGAAAGATCCCCTGGAGAAGGAAATGGCAACCCACTCCAGTATGCTTGCCTGGAGAATCCTATGGACAGAGGAGCCTGGCAGGCTACAGTCCATGGGTTCGCAGAGAGTTGCCCATGACTGAGCAACTAACACGAAACAATACTTAAAGCATACTTAAAGCATCTGAACAAAATATGGGTATTGGAGTGTTCAGAACAGTGCAAGGATATGTGTTGACTCAATAAATATTTTCAGTCCCAAAGAGAAAAGAAACCCCAAGTATGAAATTGAAATTAGGGCAAGAGAAACAGTCGGGGCGGCAGCATGGCAGACAATACAAACTCCATGTAAGCAGAAAGCAAGAGCCTTCAATTCTGCTTCATTTCCCAGCCATGGTGTCTGCCTGAGGGAGAGATGGGGGCAGCAGAGACCAAGTTAAGGAGGTCTAAGGAAAGGAGGAAGTCAGCTACTCAAGGAAAAATTGGGCTGTATAAGTGGTCTTCAAACTTTTGGTTAGCGGAAGCCCTGTCTCCAGTGAATGTATATGCACAAGCCCATTATATGAAGAGGAATAAATACAGCAAAGCCTCCAGTCCTGTCTTTTGTCCTCAAACCTCTTGGCAACACCTGAGATCCCTTTGCAGAACTCAGGTTTTATGGAGCAAAATATGAAAAACACTGTTTGAGATGATTCTTTGAGCTCTGAGTGCTATGATTCTGTACTTTCTGTGGTTCTTTCAATTCAACAAACTCTAAGAACTGGAGAGGAGAGAGAACTACAGTTTCTTCCTTCTCCAGTCTGTGGTAAGCAGATAGCTAAAGAAGGAAGGTGTACCCATAAGCTCCACAAAGGTAAGCAATAAATTAACTCATTTTCAGAGATCAGGAGCCCTGGCCTTAGAAAGTTAGAATTGTACCAAGGTCACAGAGTTCCTGGGCCTGACACTTTGTTGATGGTTGGGGACCTGAGAGATTTCTCCCACCAACTTCACCAAGAGGGAAAAATATTTGTAACTTTCAAACAGAGAAGCATGTCAAAAATTCTTGGAATCTGGTGGCTCAGATGGTAAAGAATCTGCCTGCAATGTAGGAGACCTTGGGTTTGATTCCTGGGTTGTGAAGATCTCCTGGAGAAGGGAATGGCAACCCACTCCAGATTCTTGCCAGGAGAATTCCATGGACAGAGGAGCCTGGCAGGCTACAGTCCTTGGGGTTGCAGAGAGTCGGACACAACTGAGCAACTAACACTTTCACTTTTTTGGCAGCCCAATGGTTAAGATTCCATACTTCCAGTGCAGGGGATATGGGTTCAATCCCTGGTCAGGGAACTAAGATCCTGCATCCTACATGATGCGGCCAAAAAAACAATTTTTCTTAATATAGTACTTGGAATTAACTCTATAAAAGATGAAGCTTGTATTACAGATCCTTTTTTATTCTTGATGAAAATTCTTAAAAATTAACTTTTTTTTTTTTAATCAAACTAGAAAATTCAAAGAAAGAACTAGGTGCTCTAAGAGAAGGTGGGCAGCAGAAACAACGCAGGCCCTGAAGCAATCAGGACAGGGGACAGAGGCCAGGGACCCTTCTCACCAAGCACTTTAATCTGTGAGTTTGAGCATCTCAGGCTGGGTGTCGGGAGAAGATAGCATTGAGAACTCTAACCTTTGGTCCACTGGCCTAGACCAAGTCCTCAGACAAAACCATCTTCTGAAACCTGGAGCTTCCAGCACTGCGTGTCTTTGCAAAAATCTGACATTTTCCTGGCTTGGGCCTTCTGAGGTGCCTGTGCTTCCCCAGCGACACAGCAATCTGTGTTTTCTCTGGTTCTTCCTTCCTCACCCTATCCCCCGCCCTCCCCCAAACAAACTAAACTATAACGTCTAAGAAAGAATATTTGCCAAGATCATTTGTGACCCAAATATCTGCCCTGAGAAGAACAGCCTGCCTGGTTGGAAGCAAACACTCAAGTCCTTCTGGGAAGACGCAGAAACAACTGGCTGCTTCAGTCTCTCACCATGGCCAGAGTCTGGTCTCCAGGGCTATGTGGAGAGGGCTTTACCCTTCAGAAATATTTGCATTTCAGCAGCAGGAACGGACATTGTTCTCTCTTCATCCTAAGCATAGGTCCCCACGCCTTCATTTTCCAGGTGCATGACAGTAGACAGACAGATGCAAGAAAAGCAGGAACCCCCCCCAAACACACACACACACACACACACACACACATGCACTCCTCGAGGCATGCATGCAGGTTCAGGTATATGTACAGACACACAGGCACACACATCACAACATAGATATACAATAGCACAGGCATAGTTCACCTTTTTCTTACCAGTTATGCACCAGATTACTGACTGTCTACTTGACATCTATTTCTCCTTGTTTGAGGTCTCCTAAGCATGTCAAATCTAACATGTCTCAGG